AAGGGGAGCGCCTTGCTGCTGTCTGACTCTGGAGGCTCTGGAGGCCCAGATGGCCCTGGCCCCCTCTCTGCATCCAACACAGAGCCGTCGTCCAAGCCTTCTCCAGACTCAAGGACTGGCCCATGTTCCTCCCCAACTTCCTCTATGGTTGTGGGCCAGCTTCCGGCAGAACGTACAACCATAGAGCGTATGCCCAGAGCGGTCACTACCAGAAGACTCGGTTTGAAAGCTGCAGAAAAAGTCATGCGGCGGCAGCAGAAGTCCCCTGGCTCTGCAGAGAGAGCTGGGCATCGTGAGGCTGGGAGTCGCACGAGCGAGAGTGGAACAGCCGCTCGCACAATCCCCCTCTCTAGCTGTGCAGAGCGCCATCCACTGCCATTTCTAAGGCGCCAAGCTGCGGGAGCCGGGGAGCAGCAAACAGGCGCTCATGCACCTTGGAGATAGCCATAGGTCAGTGAATGGCGCTGTGTCCGGCTGGAAAGGGGGTTTGTCGGGTGCCTGTTCATGAGTGTGGTTGCTTCATGGCTGCTCTGTTGCGCTGCTGTGACAGCGCAACACAGCCATTCGCCCATGAGGCTGTGCCCGGCTCTTGGGAAGCCCGCTCGTAAGAGAGTAGCCTCCCGGCAACCCCCCTCTTCAGCTGGGCACAGAGCCGCTCACCAACCTAGCAGTATCCCAAAGGTGCCAAGCCGCGGGAATCAGGGAGGGGAGGCAAAGGTGATCACGTTGCTTAGTGCCTTTGGGATACCGCTAGGTTGGTGAGCAGCTCTGTGCCCAGCTGAAGAGGGGGGTTGCCGGGAGGCTACTCTCTTACGAGCGGGCTTCCCAAGAGCCGGGCACAGCCTCATGGGCGAATGGCTGTGTTGCGCTGTTGCAGCAGCGCAACACAGCAGCCATGAAGCAACCACACTCATGAACAGCCACCCAGCAAACCCCCTTTCCAGATGTGCACAGCACCATTTACTGACCTAGGGGTATTACCAAGCTGCGTGAGCACCTGTTCGCCGCCGCCCGGCTTGGCGCCTTCAAAATGGCAGTGAAAGGCGCTCTGCACAGCTGGAGGGGGGGTTGGGCGAGTAGCTGTTCCGCTCACGCTCACATGCCTGCCAGCCTCACGATGCATGGCCCAGCTCTCTCAGCAGAGCCAGGGCACCTCCGCTGCCACCGCTGCTGCTGCTGCCACCACATGACTTTTTCTGCAGCTTCCAAACTGAGTCTTCTGGCAGTGGCCACTCTGGGCATACGCTCTATGGCTGTATGCTCTGCCGGCAGCTGCCCCACAACCATAGAGCGTACGCCCAGAGCAGCCACTGCTGGAAGACTCAGTTTGGAAACTGCAGAAAAAGCCATGTGGTGGCAGCGGCGGCAGCGGCAGTGGAGGTGCCCTGGCTCTGCGGAGAGAGCTGGGCCATGCATTATGAGCCTGGTAGGCACGTGAGCGAGAGCGGAACAGCCGCTCGTACAACACCACCCCCTCCAGCCATGTGAGCACCATTCACTGCCATTTCGAAGGCACCAAGCCGCAGAAGCCAAGCGGCGGCGAACAGACGCTCATGCAGCTTGGTGATACCCCTAGGTCAGTGAATGGCACTGTGCCCGGCTGGAAAGGGGTTTGCTGAGTGGCTGCTCATGAGTATGGTCGCTTCATGGCTGCTGTGTTGCGCTGCTGCGACAGCGCAACACAGCCATTCGCCCATGAGACTGTGCCTAGCTTTTTGGGAGCCCGCTTGCAAGAGGGCAGCCGCCTGGCAACCCCAAAACAATAAACCCTCCCCTCATAAGCCATATTTTGTCTGTAAAAAGAAAATAAGACCCTGTTGTATTTGTGGAAGCTGCAATTGGCAGAATAGAAAAATATCTCTGAGAATTGAATCCTGCAGTTTTCACCCCTTGGAATTCCTGGCCCCTTCCTTAATAGCCTGGATATACTGGAAAAGGTGGGAAAGCTTTATCAGCTTTTATATCAAAGGGAAGGATAAATATCAATATTCAAAACCGGCAGAAAAATAACATCCAGATAGGAAGACCACCATTGAGCCCAACATTTCTGTTGCTAAGTGAGACATTTGTTAAGTGAGTTTTGCCCCATTTTGCAACTTTTCTTGCCACGGTTTTTAAGTGAATCCCTGCAGTTCTTAAGTTAGGGTTGTTAAGTGAACCTGGTTTCCCCCACTGGCTTTGCATGTCAGAAAGTTGCAGAAGGGGATCATGTGACCATAAGACACTGCAACTGTCATAAATATGAGTCAGTTGCCAAATGTCTGAATTTTGAGTATGTGATCAAGAGGACGCTGCCACGGTCGTAAGTGTGAAAAATGGTCATGTGACTTTTTTCAGTGCCATTGTAACTTTGAACAATCACTAAATGAACTGTTGCAAGTTGAGGACTACCTGTATAATGTCCTCATTGTTTCCATTCTTGAGGTCACTTCTGGGATATCAGTCTGGTCTCTCATGCAACCTCTTGCAATCACTAATTTGCACACAATCGTGGTGCTGTGGTGGCGCAGTGGTTAGGATGCAGTAGTGCAGTTAATTCTGCTGACTGCTGGCTGCCAGCAGTTCAGGAGTTCGATCCTGACTGGCTCAAGCTTGACTCAGCCTTCCATCCTTCCAAGGGGGGTAAAATGAGGACCCAGATTGTTGGGGACAAGAGGCTGACTCTGTAAAACCTCCTAGAGAGTGCTTTAAAGCACTGCGAAGAAGTGTATAAGTCTAAGGGCTATTGCCAGTGCTATTACAGGCGATGCATAAATGACAAACGCAACCATTTCACGACTTACCGGTTTCCTGAAGGGCAACAGTATCTGCCTTCGGAGGACGTGGAAATAGCTGGCTGGTGTTGAGCAGTTCACCACGATCCAATTGCAGTCATAGAGCTGAGAAACCTCAAAGTCATCTTTGAATTGCTGGAGAGGGATGGATTGGAGGTATTAGGAAGTCGCAGGTGGCTTTCAGGCCATCTGCTAGGGTCGTTTGGCTTTTCTAAGGGCTTAGAGACGGGTCTCTGGGTGAAATGCAGCCTTTCCTTCAAGGCTGGTCTCAGTCAGAGGAACCTATCAAAAGGTACCCAGAGAGCAGAATTTATCTGTTGCAGTGAAACATGGCCCCTTGTAAAGGACCACAAAGATTCCTGCTTTCGTTTGTGTCTTTAGAAGTTGTGCTCCGTTATGATTAATGTCAATGTAATTATTTGGAGGTTGTTAGGAAAATAAACTATCAGCCTCTGCTTTGCTTGCTTGCTATTGGCTGCCATAGTAACGGGGAGGGTGGGGACTTATGGTATTTGGGAGGGGAACGGCTGGTGCTAGAGGAGATTCATGAAGGGAGTTTTGGTCTCACCATCTTCTGCGCATACTGATGGCTTGTGTTTAGGTTTGATCAAGGTCAACCGTCTCTGAATACCATAAGGCCACTTGAAGATGCACCCCACGCTACACCATTGGGAGTTGCAGATTGGACATTGGGTTGGGGTTATTGGGGAGAGGGCCTGGGTAAATGTTTGATATGTACACGTTTGCGCCTTTTTGTCTCAGATCTTGCTTTTCTTTAGCTGCTTTCATTTCATGTCTAGTAAAAATTGCTTTACCTCTACTCAAATGGAGTTTTCTTTCTTGGATACTGAATGAGGCACGCCTGACATAAACTGACATTTTTCAGTTAGGAGCAATTTTGTGTATAAAGGGTAGGACTCCACAAATAGAGTCTTTAGTCTTGGGACCCAGGATTAAATCCCATTCCTCTGTTCCCACTAGGGAAGATCAATCTACTCTTAGCAACTAGCCATGAAACTACATATATTTCCAATATTTGGGGTTCCCTGCCTTTGAAGTGCCAGTTTTTAGGAAGGTGAGCAAACCCATAGTTAATTTCCCTGATATATTTTAAAAACTGAATATTTCAGCCAAAGCTTCTCTGGATAAATGTAATGACTGAAAATACTAAATTGTAACCTATTGTAAATCATGTGGCAAATCTGCTAAGATCAGATAATTTGACTGGTGGCTATGAGGTCTTGTTTGCTGTATTTTGAGTTCCTGCATCAGGTAAATAATACGTATTAATTGGCCCACTATCTGTCCGTGCACATTTTATATTTTACTTATATGTGGTGAACCTAGTTGTGATTTTTTTGATTTCTTAGCAAGGAAGATTATAATGAATATATGCAGAGGGGTTTTCTTCCCACTGTCAAAAGAAGGTATGCTTAATCCACCAGATAGTTTATACACTGGCTTTTTTTTTTTTTTGCAAGCCTGCTCAATTAATATCATTGGTGGTCTAAAGCCAGTGATTGATAGGAAACATTATTAACATGGATGAAAGGGCAGGGGAAGAGATAGATAATCAATCAATCAACCTACTTACAGGGAATGCATCGGGATCATCGTTACTCATCTGAAGGAACCTCTCCGGCCTGGCTGATGAATGCTCCGGACCCTGATAGTTACAGCATTTGAAGGAAAAGAAGTTTAATTATCTACCCTCTGAATCCAAATAAAATTGCCATTTGGGGCAGAATTGCTCTGGCAAAAGTGCAATACAAAATCAACAGCTACAAAGGACCGCATGATATGCAAGCTGGTCCAGCAAGATATTTTAACAGTAGAAATCCTGCTTGAATCATGACATGAATTTATATCACTTGATTCAAACAGTTGAGCTGTAGCCTTTGCCACCGATGGCTGCCACGGAGATTTAGTAGCTCATTACTATGTGTGTATATTATAAGTGTGGAACGCTTTATAACTCTAAAAAATCTCTCAGCATCTTACTAGACTTACTAGAATGAGTGGGGCTTATTCTCGGTGTACATTAAATCCCCTAAAAACATTTGCCATCTTCTTCACTAATATTTTTATTCATCGCAAAAGATTCACACTACAGAAGAACAATGGAAGGTGTGAGGATTCCTGAATCAGAATGGGGAGCTGGACCAGGGGACCTCAAAGTCCTCTTCTAATCCTACTCTTCTATGAGCCTATTTCAAGCTGATGGAACATAGAATAATAGGGTTGGGAGGGGCCTTGGAGGTCTTCTAGACAACCCTCTGCCCAAAGCAGGAGATTCTATACCAGTGATGGCTAACCTTTTTGTTCTTGTGTGCAGAAAGCATGTGCATGACCATAATGGATTGTGCATAACGCATAATACATAAAGTAATGCGGAACTGCCTTGCATATGCCCCATTCATGCATATGCGACCCCCCATGTGCACTCCATGCATGTGTGTGCGACCTCCACACTCCCTCCACCCCCACGCATGCATGCACAATCCACCGCATGCGCTTGCCTCTTGGACATGCACACGCAACATCCACACATGTGCCCCCTGTGCAGGCATGGCAGAGATCCGAAAACCAGCTGGCCAGTGGGAGGCATGCGCGCCTGCGTAGTGGAACTGAGCTGATCTTCAGAGAGGGCTCTGCATGCCAACTCTGGCATGCATACTATAGGTTCGCCATCACAGTCCTGTACCTATTTGGGACTCTCTTTCAGCTTCATGAGGTAGATACACATGACCACAGAAAGAATAACAGAAAAGCAGAGTAACAGAGTTGAAAGGGACCTTGGAGGTCCTTCAGTCAAACCCCCACCCACCCAAGCAGGAGGCCCTATTTACCATTTCAGACAAAGGGCTGTCCCATCTCTTCTTAAAAACTATATTTTAAAAGGGTATTTAAACAGGAAAGGCAAAATACGTAGGGAAAAAAATGCATTATTTCAAAGCTTCAGTAAGGAAACGAATTGCTTCCTGCAAGCCCGGAAATCTTATTGCGATTGGCGAAAGGCCTACCATTCCTTCCATTCCGTGGGGCAAAAGAAGGACGATTCCATTGTGACGGACCCACTTGGCTTGGCCAGAACTGATGAACTGGTCAATGATGCACTGGGCGGTGTTGTGAAAATCACCAAACTGAGCTTCCCAGCATACAAGCGCATTGGGACTCGACATTGCAAAACCAAGTTCAAAACCTAAGAAAGCAAGAAAGGAAAAGGTTTGATTAAACCCAACCGTTGCCCTAGTGAAAAATACAGGGAGTCCTTCTTTAATGACAACCCCCCACAAGTGAGACCGGCAAATCAGACGTTAAGTGAAGCATCGTAAAACCATGCCCGTGCTTAGGATTGGACTTCAGCTTTCCTTTCCTACAACCTGCAAAGGCTGTAAAAATGTGACACACAATGTTACTTTTTTATCATTTTTGTAACTGCAAACAGTCAGTGGACAAGAATTGCCTGTATCTATAGTTCAGGATTGAATTATTGAACACTTGATGTGTAGCCAGTGATGTGCTAAATGTCTGGAGGATGGGAAACCAGATCAGAGAACATCCAGAGCCCAGAGAAACACAATTAAGATAAGATGACCTTTATTGTCATTTATCCATATACACAATAGCACACATTAAAATGAAAATCCAATGCCCCGCTCTCGAAGGAAGGAATGTCACCCACTGAACAATGTCACCATCCCAAGGATGACAATAACAACATAATAGCAGTAGCACCACAAATGCCAAGTTATACAAAAATGATACCAAAACGTATATTAATTACAGTCCATTGTAAATACTTCCTGTCATGCTTAGACACGCTGGAAACAGAGTTCCCAGCCAGGATCAGAAGTTAAAGTAAGGTCTTATTAGTTCTCTTAATTGTTATTAATTAATAGAAACCTTCCAAGACAACTAGACACAAGAAGTTTTTTCCCGAACACCATCACTCTGCTAAACAAATAATTCCCTCACCATTGTCAAACTATTTACTAAATATGCATTACTATTACTATTAGTCTTCTCATCGTTCCTATCACCCATCTCCTCCCACTTATGACTGCAGGACTGTAACTTTGTTGCTTGTATCCTTATGATTTATATTGATATTTTTTAAAAACAATTTTTATTTGTTTTTGAACAAGGACAAACAAACATAAAAATAAAAATAAAAAACCATCTTTCATTACAAATTGTAG